TAGGTAACGGACTCCATCTGTAGCACATTGCAAATTATTTCAGATATAAATCTTAAACAGTATTGTCTAGAGATTTTATTGCATGTTGTATTGAACCACTACTTGAAAAACGATGTATTGATTTGGTCCGACGAACATACAATCTACTGAGCTAGCTGGATGATTCTCTTTAGCTTAATGATAAAGTTGTCCTAATATTTTAAACTTAATTCGAAATGATTAATATTCAAAAAATTATATTCCTAAGAGTGGAAGATTATATGTCAAGAAATACGGAAGCTATGTTTAAAACATGGAAGAACGCTATAGTCGAGTACCTCGACTATCAGATACCCGTTACTCAGCTTAAGGGACCAAAGGGAGATGGAGATATGCGAGCAGCAAAGCGAAATTGGAAAGCGCCACCTACCCGCGATCTCAATATATGGTTATGTGTGGCGGTAGACAGATTTAGGCGTTATTGGCGTTAGACTTTTTTTTTGATCAATCGATAGGTATTGACGAGACTAATGCATTTAAGTTAAAATTTTTATTCTGTTAAAACTGTAGAAGCCACGGTTTTGAACGGTTTGTGGGAGTGATATTGGGTGTGGCACACTGACAAAACAAACTTTCGCTGCGCAAGAAGCTCAGGAATCTACATGCCAAGTATCAACTTTCTAGCTTTTGTAGTTTCCGAGATCTCAGCGTTCATACGGACGGACAGACAGACGGACTGACGGTCAGACGGACATGACTAGATCGACTCGGCTAGTGATCCTGATCAAAAATATATATAGTTTATGTGGTCGGAAACGATTCCTTCTACCTGTGACATACTTTCCGACGAATCTAGTAGCTAAAAAGATTGCCACGCCCACTCGAACGCCCACAAACCGACCAAACCTGTGCCGCCCACAATTTTCATGCTAGATACAACATTTTAACTAAAATGTATTGGTATCGTTAATACCTATCGACTGATTCAAAAAAAAGTTTGCCACGCCCACTCTATTTCAATCTCACTTTGCCGCTTGCATGTCTCCATTTCCCTTTGGTCCCATTAGCTGAGTAACGGGTATCTGATAGTCGAGGTACTCGACTAGAGCGTTCTTCCTTGTTTTTTATATTATTCTAACTATAATACTGAAATTAGAGCTGATTATTTATACCCGTATACTCGTATGTATATAAATAATTTAATATTATTTTCTGTGTTTTTAAATATATTAATTATAGCTGCCAGGGTATACAAACCTCGGCTTGCCGAAGCTAATTTCCTTTCTTGTTATAACATATAACCTAACGCTTGGAAATAACATTTTTAATTAGTTCTAAATGTCGAATTTAATTATATCAAAAGCGGACGACTATATCATATAGCTGCCATAGGAACGATCGGAAAATTTGTGGGAAAATAATATGAAATATTATCTTATACTATTGGGAATATCATTTTTTGTTTTTTTAATAATTTCAAATTAAATTGAATAATTATAACTGCAAGGGTATACAAACATCGGCTTGCCGAAGCTAACTTTCTTTCTTGTTTTAATTTTTTTTCTTCTTATCTGAACAGCAATTCGAAGTTTCTTGTCTAGATCTCCAGTGGCTTGGCTATTTGCAAGAATAAAAAGTAATAAAATCTTGGTGCGATTAAATATATTTATCTTGGATTTACTTATTAGTACTTGGTACACTTTTGGAAAACTCAGCAGTTTTTTTACTGGATCGAACGTTTGTACTTTTAAGTTATTTTAATTCCTTTATGCTTGTTTAGTTTCGACAAACCCTTTTTATAACAAATATCTTTTCGTCTATAAAACTCCAACCAAACTTACTCTGGTCAGACGGCTAACCTGGAAGTATTGTGGCTGCATGCGCTTCCCCACAAGCAAAATAAGATGCCTTCTTTATCAGGGCGGTTGTCGATCACGGCAAAGACTTGCTTGTTCAAGGCTATTGTAATGCATACTTTTTATTCCAGCCACCATTTTTCGAATGTATAATACATCTATCACTTACACTGCACCCCGAACAGAGCAAGACTCCTCTTAGAATCATTAATTAATTTAGCAGGGCTTTCAAACCTGTTGAGATGAGACTGTGCCCATTGCTTTGCTTTAAGCTTGGTTCCCGAAGCACACCCTTAATTCCTGGTAAACACGACATTCTCCCAATCGTTCTGCAATCTATTCTAGCACTTCTTGGCAGGTTTCATTCTAAAATTCGAAAAGGATTTTTCATGAACTTCCATTTTGCTTTGCACAACTGAGCGTAACTCTTTCTTTCGATAAGCTTCCCCAGCATTCTCACATTTAGGTCTAGTTCAATCAGATAAATTTAAACTATCCCTATGCTTCTTGTGTGCAGTTTTCTACTTCCTTGACCTCGACCTCCACCCTTCTTGATCTCGATGGTCAGACATTAACACAACCAGGAAGGCTTAAAATCTTCGAAAGACTTCTGCATGTTTAATAATATTTCTAGGCTAGCGAGAGCGTTTCGTGGCCCCGACTCCCGCTCTGAAATTTTTTAAATACCATATCTTTTTACCGCCAAATTTTAGTTTCCGTTGCTCAGCGCTCATACGGACAGTCAAACCGTTACTTGTAAAGTAAAAGGTTATATTAAATTCGGAGAAAGTGTGTTACAGAGTAAAGGAACCATTTTCAAACCCATTAAGTATAATTCAATATATTCTTGATCAGCATCACTAGACGAGTCGTTCTAACTATGTCCGTCTTTCCGACCGCCTGTCCGTTTCTACGCGAACTAGTGTCTCAGTTTTAAAGCAGGAAACCTTCCTTCATTGCAGGTATGCATCGTATAGCTCTCATAGGAATAATCGGGAAAATGTTAAAATTTTTTTTTTTATTGAAGCTCCGTTTTTTTTCCTAATTTAGGAATGTTATTATACTCGTCACTCGTAGAGTAAACGCGCATAATAGATTTTTCTGAAAGAATGCAATAGGTAGAAGGAAGCGTTTCCGACCCTGTAAAGTATACATATTCTTGATCAGGATCAATAGCCGAGTCGATCATGCTATGTCCGCCTGTCTGTCCGTCCGTTTGATTGCTGATGTCTCGGAAACTATAAGAGCTAGAGACTTTGTACGCGGTGTAAGTTTGATATGCAAATTGGCCACGTCCTCTTTAACGCCCATAACGCTAAAAATCTGTCTTACGCCCAAAATTTTAAAGAATGTTAATGGAATTTGGATTTGGTTATTAATACCTACAATCACATTTTTTTCTAGTTTAGAAAAAAAAACCGAGAAATGCCTTAAATTCAAAGGGTCACAGTTTCAAAATGGTACAAACACCACTGCAATGCGATACTCCTTTGCAAAGTTATGCAATCTAAATGAATTTTAGGCCGTTTCCATAAGTCCATAATGTATTATTGTTGGTTCGCCTGATTTTTCTGTTGCGGTTTTTGTCTTATTATACGATTGAGCTAAAAATCATTTGTTCTACAATTTTTTTAGTTTAGCCGGAAATAAGCTAGAAATGGCTAAAATTCAAAGGGTCACAGTTCCGATGTTTAATACATGTTTTACATGGCATTGGAAGTATACACTTAATACCTTACTAAAATTAGACCTTATTTTAAAAACACCCTCAGAACTTGCAAGGATTTTTGATTCTCAATTTTAGACATTCGAGTATTGCTATACATATTTCTGGACTAATAATTTATATTATCATCAAGAATGGTTTATTGTTTTTCAAAGTATTCTCCAGCAAGATTTATACACTTTAGCATGCGCTTAAACCAATTGTCAAAGCACTTTTTCCACTCCTTTTAATACACCACGCTTTTCTTGATGTGCGGGAATAAAAAGAAGTTATTGGGTGCCAAGTCAGGGCTGTACGGCGGGTGACCCATCAATTCGACATTTTGGTCGGTCAAAAAGGAGCTAGATTGAGCTGATGTGTGAAAGCTCGCATTGTCATGGCGCAGAATGATCCGTCTTCTCTTGTTCGTTTTTCGAATTTCTACGAAGACTTCAGGAAAAAAAGTTGAGGTGTACAACTTGGAATTGACCGTCCTACGTTGCTCACATGACGATCTTGCATTATCCTATTAATGTTCTCTGGCACAAGAACTGTTTTTGGACGACCTTCGCGACCTTCGTCTTCAAGCGAGCGTTGGCCACGATAGAATTCATTAAACCAGTTGTTACGGTGCTATAGGATGGTACATCATCACCATACAAAGATTTAACTTAATCGATGGGCTCTTATCGCGATAATCCACGTCAAAAGATGAGAGGACAGATGGACATGGCTAGATCGACTCAGCTAGTAATCCTGATCCAGAATATATATACTTTATGGGGTCGGAAACGCTTCCTTCTGCCTGTTACATACTTTTCGACGAATCTAGTATACCCTTTTACTCTACGAGTAACGGGTATAAAAAGTTGCCACGCCCAATCTAACGGCCATAAACCGCTTAGAACCGTCCGTATCAACATTGAGATCTTGGAAACTACAAAAGCTAGAGATTCTTCCGCAGCGCAAGTGCACTACGCATTGTATACAACATTTTGAAGAATTTTGTAATAGTGTAGATGGGACTTCGTTTTGATTACACAGGTCGACAAAAAAATTAAGTATTATGTCGACCTGTGTTTTCAATCAATTGGATTCACTAAGAAGGTTTCACCAAATATGGTGGTATGCCCGCTAGGTGGCGCCCTTTAATGTCGGAAAAATTTGCTTTGCTGTTTGCATATCTCCCTCACCCTTGCCCTTCCATTAGTTGAGTAACAGGTATGTGATAGTCCCCTTTCCATTTTTTTAAATTATGTATCAATATAATGTTTATTTAAAAAATATCATACATAGGAGAATTTTAAAAATATGCAGACACCTTTCGTTTAACTATGTATCGGTTTATTTAATTAGATTTATTTTACTCGTTATACATTTCAAACAAAATGCATCCATGAAATTTCCTATCGTAATACAATCGTTTAGTCAATACTTAAAGAAGATACTTTGTTTTTCAGGAAACTCAATCAGAATTCATTAAAGCAATCTTAAAAGGATCCTTTAAGGAGAGCTTTCTACAAATTGTTATTATTTGGCGAAAGGATGATAAGCACATAATGTACGAATGGGTCAGTATTGCTAAACAGAACGAAAACCTTTTAACAGAGAGTCTCATCAATTCAACAAAAACCGAAATTTCGTATACGGTAAAAAGACTTTTAAAATCTTCAGAAACTTTTAGCTATGAAGCTTTTGTGCAGGTACTTATTTAAAATATTTTTGAAGGCAAATTTAATTTTTTAATTTTTTTTCAGAATCTTTTTAATGAGCATTCACAAGGAATTTTATCCAAATGGATTTCCCGGTTGTTATATTTAGTTGATTATCTATCAGATAATATTGAGGACGAGCACCTTCTTGCAGTTTTTTCCCTTTTGGGAACAATTGCATTTATGTTTGGTGTTGGCTATATATTAATGTACTTTGTAAGGGCCGAAGAGGAAAAGCTGAAGGCGCAAGGTCATCTTATTAATAATCAAGGTATGTACTAAAATATGACACATTATTTAGGCGCACTTATACAATTTCTTTCAACTACGCCTCATAATTATTCCCACCCAGTTCAGTTTCGCACACTCCGCACCAAACGTATAACTGAAACACCCAACCCGTATTGTAAGCACCAGAGCCCCAAAGCGAGCCCTGAATTAAAATAAAGTTCGACCTAAAATAGTAAATAGTCAAATAAAATTTTTTTTTTTAAATTTACTCAAAATCGAATCAACACAAAAATTTGATTTTACGCAAGGTAGACAGTGTCTCTCTGTCGGTCTGTCTGTCTGTCTGTCTGCCTGTTTGATTGAGATTTGGCAGGCAGATTCCTGAGCTTTTTACGCAGCGCAAGTTTGTTTCAGCAATGTGCCACGCCCACTCTAACGCCCACAAACCGCCCAAAACTGTGGCTCATACAGTTTTCATGCTAGAATAAAAATTTCAGATGAGATGTATTGTTCTTATCAATACCTATTGATTGACCCAAAAAAAAGTTTGCCACGCCCACTTTAACGCCCACAAACTTCAAAAAGTCGTAAGTATGAGCGTGGATATCTCGGAAACTATCAAAGATAGAGAATTGGGATCTCAAATTTAGATTCCGTAGCCTTAAGCGCAGCGCAAGTTTATAACGCGAATATGCCGCCCACAAGCCGCCCAAACCTGTGGCACCCACAATTTTCATGCTAGAAAAAAAATTTTAACTAAAATAGTTAGTAAGTCTCGTCAATACCTATCGATTGACCCAAAAAAAAGTTTGCCACGCCCACTCTAACGCCCATAACGCTAAAAACTGTCTTCCGCCCACATAACCATATATTGAGATCGCGGGTAGGTGACGCATTTCAGTCTCGCTTTGCTGCTTGCATATCTCCATTTCCCTTTAGTCGCTTTAGCTGAGTAACGGGTATCTGATAGTCGAGGTACTCGACTACAGCGTTTTTCGTTGTTTTTAATATGGTATTCAGTACTGACCTTCTTTATATACAGATGGTGAAATTTTGACACAGCAAAATGTGTGAGTTTATTATCCTTTATCCATTCATCAAAACTTAAACCAACAAAATGTTCTGATCCCAGATTGGCGTAGGCCAATAGACAGCTGCTGGTCTGGTATTCGTTGAGGAATCCCAAATGCTTAAAGGCTCTTAGGGTGTTTTCGAAATCGACTAGTTTTTGAAAACATTGCGAAAAATCTTTGCTCAAAAATTTAACTAGGCCCTAATTTTGCAGGGATTTTAAAAGGAACAAATATGCCAAAGTAAAGTGTGTAGATGTTACATTATTCTTTACAATATGTAAAACATGTATTTATCATAAGGCGTTTAGGAACTGTGAGCCTTTGAATTTTATCCATTTCTTAATTTTTTCCCTCAAAACTTCACTCAATCGGTTTAATACTACAAAAATTATCCAAGGACCGTAACAAAAAAACTGACAATCGTAATTTTTAGTCTAAACTTTAAAGTGGCCTAGAATTTATTAAAATGCATAACATTGCAATGGAGTATCATGTCGACGCGTATTTCCGTAAAAAATATGAACAAATTAAGGATCGGTACATTTTGCAACCCCGGTTTCCCTATCTTAAATCTTCTAAATGTAACCTTTTCTACTTTCTCCGCAATTTCTCTTGAATCAATCGACCTATTTCATTTTTTAGTAACGAAGTTGATGAAGTTCACAATACTTTTCAATCGGCGTATTATTTATTTCGACGAATCGAACTATACTATAGAAGTCTCTTCGCGCACACTCCCAGTATGATTCGTCACTAGTGCCAGTCACAGTGATATACTCTTGATCAGGAACGCTACCCGGGTCGATCCGTATGAATGCTGTGATCTCAAAAACCATAAAAGCTAGGCATGCAATTCAAAGTAGCTTTGGTGCTAGAAGCCGAGGCACTCGGCTATAGAGTTCTTCCTTGTTTAACATCTGATGTAATCTTAAAAGTCCACCACAAAGTATTTATAGCTCATTTTGAATATTAGGTGTGTTATACAATGCAATTCGACGAACGTCTTCGATATGTTTTTTAAAAAAGTGCCACCGCAATATATTCGCAACTGCGTTTAACTTGTATTATACCTCCATCCTGATGCTTGCCTCAAAGTGTGGCAAATATATAACGCACGAAATAATTCAGAATATCATCTGTTGTTATGTTTAATCAGTTTTTTTACCCTTGGAGAGGGTGTAATGATTTCAGTCAGAAGTTTGCAACGCAGTGAAGGAGACGTTTTTCGACCCCATAAAGTATATATATTCTTGATCAGCATCAGAGACGAGTAGATCTATTTCGATCTGTTCGATCTGATTTTATTGCAGGTAGTAAAGAAATTCAAGTAATTTATATAACCTCTATTATTTAAATATCCATTGCTGCAATCATATGATCACATTGTCGCGCCTACCGCTCACTTATACATGCAGATTACATATGTACATACTATCGCCCCTTTGTCATCTTGAATTCAAATATTAAACCAGTGCATATGAGAGATCGACCTAATTTGGACGCATTTCTCAAATAAATCTGCATTTGGCAGAGTCCGCATACTTTGGCTTTTGCAAGTCCTAACATAAATCCTAATCGCAAATAAAATTGTTAATCAAAAGTCCCACTGCCCGTGCGCTCTTCGGCGGAGCTAGTGATCAATACATAGACGCAGAGTTGTACTGCCTTCAATACACCATCGGCCCGCAATTTGAATCATCGAAACGTAATTGGATATTCGTAGATACCTGACTCCAACACTTAGAAGGTAAACGTTGAAATTCCGACGCAAGTACAGTTTCTCCAGCTGAGGAACAGCGGCCCAAAAGAGACGAATCAACCGTAAGCTCGACTCTAGCAATTGCAATCGTTGTTTATTATTCCCCTATGACCAAACACACATACATACCTTTGAAACTAATTGTTAACTAAATTAGTAGCAAATTGAGACTTTATCGCCAGAATAGCTGTATTGTTTTCTTTCATTGCCGGCCGGGGCGTTCCCATTAGATTTGAGTGATACATAAGGCATCGGTTCACGTAGTACTCTCTGCACTAACGCAGTATACTTCGCTATTAACTCATCGCAAAATGACTCCACCTCCTGATGCTCAAATTGTGAGCTTAAAGCAGCAAAGAAATACAATGCGGGAAAATACAGACTGATCTTGCTGACAATAATAATAAACGAAAATACAAATTATAGCAAAAGAAAACCAAATTTTAAAAATAAATGATAATTTAAGTCATCGAGTAGTTCAAATGCTGATAAAACTGCCTTTTTTGATTGTGGTAGCTTTCTTTGGCCAGTAACATAAGGATCTGAGCTCAGAAGTAATCTGTGCATCAAATCTGTTTTTTGTCAATCCGAAAAGTCTTCCTGGTGTGCTGTCACTTAAACATTTTGATGTCCTTATCTTTTGACTCTGCAGCTTCTTCTGATAATTCTCCAATCGACACAAGTGCATAATTTATGACATCTGGAGCATGAACTAAAATTTTGTGTATGGATGGTGGAAGATAGTACCATGGATACAAGCTAATCAGCTTTCTAGCAGTATCAAGTGCATATTCTCCAAATTTTGCCGCATTGATTTTGTAGCCTGATGCCAATGTCCACGCTTAGCAGTTTCGATCATTTCTTAAGGCTTACTTGGAGTGCGTTTCATTAAAATTGTTTCCTTTTCGTTAAGCCAATTAGATTGGAATTCAAGAACTGATACCTTTTTGCATTTATATTGTGTCCAAAACGAAGTAATTATACCCGTTACTCGTAGAGTAAAAGGGTATACTAGATTCGTCGGAAAGTATGTAACAGGCAGAAGGAAGCGTTTCCGACCCCATAAAGTATATATATTCTTGATCAGGATCACTAGCCGAGTCGATCTAGCCATGTCCATCTGTCCGTCTGTCTGTCCGGATGAACGCTGAGATCTCGGAAACTATGAGATTTGGCGTGCAGATTCCTGAGCTTCTTACGCAGCGCAAGTTTGTTTCAGTAGAGTGCCACGCCCACTCTAACGCCCACAAACCGCCCAAAACTGCGTTGCAAACTTTTGACTAATGTAATAATATCCTCAGCAAGGGTACAAAAATGTTGCCTTATTACTGCATACCGGTTTAGGCTTCATTCAAGTCGCTTAAATAATGCCCGAGCTCCACGGTTACCGAACTTTCTTGAGCAGTAAGATCAATTAAAGTCCAAATTTATTATTTTAATAAATATTTTACAATTTTTACCCTCAATTGTTTTACCCATACGAAAGACATCTAAAAATTGATTTTTTGTTGATGTGCTGTTGGGAGCAAATATTTGCAGTATGTTTTAAAAACATTGTTGTGACTTTGAGCTTTGTCCATTCTGCAGCTGATCGACTTAAGGTTTATAGCTGGACAGGAAAACGAAGCAACAAAATCATCATAACATTAAGGAGCCATTATAAAAAAAATCGTGAACCTGCTCCTCCAATGCTTTAACTAGATTTAATTATCCTTTTAGTTAAAAAGTTAAACTCCTTTGGGGCATCAATTTTTTCCCGTTTTTTCATTGGAGTTAATACCCAACATACAAACATTCTTTTGAAAAATTTTAAGCCTGTGGCTAGCGGATCCGTGCATTTACAATACTCCTGTTTGTGAGTGAACTTGGTACCAAGTAGTAAAACCAAAAGTTTATCAAAGTGATCTTTAAACCTCAAAAGATCCTTCATGGCATCATGTATGAAATTCTACCTGGTTCGAGCTGGTGTTTTTAGAGAGTATCCCACCAGGTTTTGGATGCACTCTGCATTTCTAGGGCAATCGCAATTGTTCCAAACTGGAAAGCACCTAAAAAAATGTAATGAAGTCTAATTATAGACAAAAAATACAAAACTTCATTATTTTAAACCTTTTAAACAGATTAGCATTCTCATCGAACACTATGCTGTCAGATGTAATGATCCTCATATAATCCGTGGTAGGATCTTTTCCTGGTCGACCAAATGTC